TCATAAGCAAGAGTGTTTTACGCAACTGAATTTAAAGCATTTAAGAGGGTAATATTATCTGTAGTATCATAAGTCCTCAAGTAAACAAATTTTTATTTGAACGCATAATGTGCATATTATAGTGTAAACATTCTTGTTTTTGTTTACGACCTGTAAAATATGTTGTGAAAAAAATTAAGGGGTCAATTTTACTCTCTCTTTCTGAAACGATATTTGTTTAAATCAATTTTATATATATATATATATAGTGTGAGGAAGCTAAAATTGTTAGGTTGTTATCATAATTTTGTTTTATAGCATGACATTCTTAATAAAAGTTAGGAAAGAGGATCTTAAATCCTTGGCTGAAGAGTTAGGATAAAAAGTTAGCCCTGAACTTAAGATATTGTATTTAAGACAGCTGATTATGGGAAATGAATCCTATGAGGAAGAACTAGTGAAAGGCCTGTTAGCAAATATCACTTCAACGAGGCTTGAGAAAGAAAAAAAGGAGCAGGAAAGAATTAAGAGAGAAGAAGATGAAAGGCAGGAAAGAATTGCAGAGAGGCAAGATAGAATTAGGAGAGGAGAAATGGAATCTGAATTATCGAAATTAAGATTACTAGCCGCTAATGGAAATGACTCTGTAAATGGCGGGAATGAAGGAAATGAACTTAAGAAAAGCCGTTACGATCTAAAAAAAAATGATTCCAAAATTTGATCCTGAAGAGAACGGCATTAGTTTGTATCTAGTCGTGTTTGAGCGCCAAGCAAAGCGTGCGAATCTTCACCAATCAGAATGGGTTTCGGTTTTATTGACAATTTTGCCAACTAACATAGTTCAGCTGATTATGCGAGAACCAGAGCAGCAGGCTTATGACTACGATTACGTAAAGAGGATATTGCTTTAAAGGTTTAAGCTTAGTCCAGAAAAATTTCGTATCAAATTTACGGAATTCCAGAAAAACACTCGAACCACTTGGAGAGATTTTGCCTTTGAATTAAGGAATTATTTTGAAGAATGGATCGCAGGTTTGGAAGTTACCGATTTTGAACTTTTAAAGGATCTCATGCTAACGAACCAAATAAAGCACCGTGTAAATGTCGAAGTGCGGCTGCATTTTATTGACGAATGGTCGAAGATGAAGACTCCAGATAAATTAGCAGAAATGCTAGAAGAGTATAAAAATGCACGTGAAACCCGGAAGAAGATATCTCCTGTTCATTGCTCTGAGTCACAACGGGGAAATAAAAATCATTTAAATTCAAGGAATCCGCAAAAGTATCACCAGTCTGGAGGGGAGGATAGATATGCCTTTGACAGAAAGGAACATCTCCGGAATCAGAATGAGCGTCAATTTGATATGAGAAGACCACTTAAGTGTTATTCTTGTGGTTCAAACGAACACTTAAGACCTCAATGTTCGGAAGTTAAAAAGGATCTCAAAACTCCGTTTATTGTAAACAGAGTCCAGGAGATTGAAGAAGATTTTTTAGCCCCGTATCTAACGATGGCTAAAGTGAACGGGTTTGATCTTCCAGTTTTGAGACACCGGGTCATGCATTGACGTAATATGCAAGAAATATCTCACTTCTTCGATGCTGACGAACGAGACTGTTTGGGTAAACACCCGTTTGAAAAGGCTCCAATTTGTTTACCCTTAGGAAACGTTACAATAGAAGGAACTTTTGGCCAAGTAACAACAAAAGCAGCGGTCATTCGAAATGAATTGGACTCCGGTCATTATCTGTTAGGGAACAGAACCGCCGAAAAATTAACAGTATATCAACCCGATAAGCTTTTCTTTCAAGTGAAAACAGGTACTCGAACTCCGAGTCAATCAAAGAATGAAATCGGGAAAAGCTGTCCGCTGGAGTCTGAACGCGGCGAACTCGAACCCTCAAGCGAAGTTTCTCCCCTCATTATAGAAAGGTGTGAAGTCTTTTCTCAAACAAAAGGGATGGAGAAAACCAAATTTCCCTCTGCCTGAAATAGAAGTGAATGAACTGTCACTACTTCAAAACATCAGACGCAGTTAACTGATCTACAAAAGAAAGGTGACGTTGTAAACCCATCTTTTGACTGTGTCGCGTTAAACGATCACAGTAACTCTTTGGGAAATGTGTACAAGCTAAGAATTTCCTTTTCGGTTCGGCGCGAACAAGAAACTGTAGATATGTCAAATGATGCTTCGTACCAACTAGACTCAGAAGGTTTGCAAATGCCTAAAAATTCCGTAGGAGAATTGCCCAAGACTTACTCTGCTCGGTGTAAATTTATCAAGGAAAGTAGAAGAATTTCCCAGGTCATCATTTATCTATATTAGTGCCTGATACTGAAGGGTCAAAGAGGATTGAATATAGCTACTTCATGAATGATGTAAATCCAACTTGTAATGAAGTAGTTTTTTTCTGATGTTAAAGCCAAATTAAATTTACATGTTTATCTTGAGGTTAAATGTAGTAGTTCTCATGTAGCTTGTAAATTTAGCTTGAGGTCAGATGTCGTAGTTGAGTTACCATTGAGAGATTTTCACAAATTGAAAATTAAAAATCTACAAGGTTTCCCTTTTCAGCCTGGCTAAAAATTTCACTAAAACTAAACTTGGAATGTATATTGTTATATTGTATTACATATTTCAGAAACTATACGTTTTTTTATGGTATGTGTATAATTAAGCTTTAGTTTTTAATATTATGTTGTTTATATGTTTTTTACTGGCCACAATATAGTTCTTGTTATGTTTATCCTTGGTACTTAGCCCACCATTGTGAAAAAAATATTAGTGCAAATAATTATTAATTACTTTTATTATTAAGACTTGCTGTGGTAAGGTACGAGGAATTAGAGTTCTGAAAACCCCCCAACCCCCGGGGAGGATAGGAGTTGTGACGTTCAGACATATGCAGCCCTCGGACTTCTAGGTGCTTAATGAGAAATATCTGTTGTCAAAGACAGAATAGACAGCAGACCTTTGGAAGAAAGGTGCAGCAGAAACCCCCCTGGTGTGGTTTCCGGACATAAGGATTCATTATAATTTTTTATATTATGTTTAATTATATATATTTACTTATATAAAAGTTTTAACATGATTTGTTTAGGAAACAAAGTTCTTAACTTCCTTTTCGATTTGAATTTTTAAGATTTTGCAAATGGAAGTTGATTAATTTATTTATTAGGGTAAATAATATTTGTATTATGAGATATTGCTTATTTCATTGTAAGTTTTTTACTATGTGATACTTCTTTTTATTATTATGTGATACTTTTTTTAATTTGAGTTATTCTGCTAAGTAAATTCTGTGCAGTTTTTAAATTTAATGTTTTTTGTTCCCTTTAGGTACATACCATTTACGGTACATTTAAAACCCAGACGACGGCTGGTTGCATAGCGGCTAGTTCATGATAAAGAAATGATGCTGTCTGTATTTTTCACGTAGAATATCTGCCATCACCATAAGAACAATAGACCAGTTCTTTTTCCTACAATTTTTCACAGAATAAAAGTTGACCAATTTTCAAAACTTTTAAATTAACTCAATTTTTGACAGGACACGGTAATTTCAAGAGCTGTTTGAAGCGATATAGACTTGTGCAGCTGCGGTAGCGAGGATGAGCATATTCTTCTTGAGTGCTTTGATGACGAACAGAGGAAGATATTTCAGGGGATTTTGAGTCACCTGTTTGTATGCTGGTCACCAATTTTTTCTGAACTTTTACGAACTAAAGAGACAATTTTTGCTCTTGGAAATTCATTCTCAATTTAGATTCTTCAGGTTATTTTATTTTATTTATTAGCCCAAAGGAGCGTTAGTCCAGAAGGGCTATTAGACTGGAAACGGGATTTTGCGTTGAATCACTATAAAAGTCTGAATCACTTTTCAAATGGTTGCCACCAAATATTATCTCTCTGTATTATATTTAAAGAAATTAAATAATGAAGATTTAGCATGAATGTATGCATGTTTTTCGCATTGTAGAAATTGTACGCATTGTATGTACGCAATGTACGCATTGTATTGTTTTCACATTTCGCAAAACAACGGTACCTAGAGACATCAAAATTTTAATAGCATAGTCCTCTTCCCGAATATTGACACCTGGAAGCCCGAATTTTGAATTTCGAATTTGTTTTATTGTGTATTTCGTATTTTGTGAAACTTTAATGAGTTTTTGATTAGCAAATTTAATGATTTCAAAGAGAGCAATCATAACACTGCACGGAAATAAAACATTTTTATCTCCAGCGCGCGAGACTGTCTATCGGAAATTCTAAAGATAAGCTATTTTTAAATTTTTTTAGCGCTAAGGAACATTAGCCCAAATGCTGTCGAAACGCATATATAGGTAAAGGAAAAACACGCCCTTAGAGGCGAAATATAAAATCTGAAAACTTTTTTATTGTTATTTATTCTTTTACTTATTTTTTCTAAATTTCTTTGTAAGTGTTGTAATTTACTTGTGTAAGCCTCGTGGTATACTTTGCGGAATACTAGGAGCTAGAGTTAAATATATATGTGTGTGTGTGTGGACACCAGATGTAGAAAAACGTCAGTAAAGCTTCGAGTTATTAGTAAACTACGATTTATTTACATAAATTAAAAATAATAAGAAAAGATAACTAATCGTCTCAAAATTATCCCACGTCTGAATATATTCTTTTAAGTTACTGTACTTTGGAAAAATATATTTAAAAGTAGTGCAAATAATTGTAAACTTGATTTTTGTGTACCTTTTTTGCCTTTTTTTAGATATTTTAAATAATATTCATATTTTAAATTTCTGAAAGTTTGCAATCATATTTTACAATGTATAAAGCGAATATTAAAATTTTCTCACTAATATTTACTTCCTCTCAGATATTTAGCGCATAATACTAGAATGTATATTTGGCTTTTCCATGAAATATAAATAGTTTTTATCCCTTTTTCTATAGTAGAGACATTTCATTGAACTTCTGGACAAAAAGCTCTTATTTAGCCTACAACTTTAGCCGTCTTATCAGCTTGTCCCACGTACATCAAGTTCCCATTCTGCATTCCTGTGAGTGCGAGGAATTTGGAAACTAGATGGAATTGCAGAAAAAAATGTGGCTTTACTTTTCTCTCCATGAATGTTACTTGCTGTCGAAGAAATATGTTCGTTCATTCATTTTAAGGTCTTAGAATTTCTTCTTTTCCCACATCTTCTCTAATATTCTGGTAAGAGCCTTTTGATAGCAATTTTTTATTAGTAATGCCATTATTTTGATAACAGTCTCTTAAATTATCGTACTGACTGAGCTAAAATATCATGTCATGGTGAGAGCGAATGGAAGTAGGGAGCTATTTAGCGGTTAGAGGAAGTCACAAACACTCAAATAAGCTTAGCCCGGAATCCGTGTAAAGCCTGTGTAGAGTCATTAGGATTTTTTGAAGCTTGAGACGTGAAAATATGCGGTGCCCTCGCCTTAATTTTAGCCTGAATCTCTCAAATGCCCGCCGAGTGTGCTACCGTTACACCACGAAGGCATGCTGGAAGAAGGAAGAAAGAACTTATATACTCCCCCTTTTAAAAGGCGACTGAAAATTAGGAGACTCAGCCAAATCCTCGTGGTGATGAATTATATATAGTTCAGGCGCCACTGTAGAGTCATTAGGATATTTTAAAACAGGAAGCTTAAAAAATATGCAATGCTCTCATCGGGACTCTACCTGGACCTCTCAAATACGTGCCGAGTGTTATACCGTTACACTATAAAGGCAAGCTGTAAGGAGGGAGAAAATACCTTATACTGTAATCACCATGCACACTTAGTAAACGTAATTCATTAGTGATCTTTCAGAGAGTTTTAGGAACATTTACCCACACTCAATGCCACTCTTTCAATTTTACTTGGTGCAAAGTGGTAGGAGGTGGACCGAATCTTGCCAGCTCTTAGATCTTAGATGATCTAAGATGAATGTTTCAAATTTTAAGTCTCGCGAATTCTCTATATAAGAAGAAAGAAATTCTAATATGAAGAAAGAAAATGCAAATTTTTATTTAGTATTTAATGGCTTTACGAGTAATTAAAGTTAATTTTGAAATCTGAAAAAAAAATAGAGTAAAATTTTTTTAAATACATTTGTATTAAGAAAAGACAAATGGAATTTAACGAACTACAGTAAAATCGAAATTAACAGGGGTAATATAGGTGACGTCACAGTTAATCTAAAATTACGGTCGATTCAGAAGCAGTTAAAAAGTTACAAGAAAGAGGAATAATTTGTGTTATCTTTAACAAAAAATACTGTTAAAATTTTACCTATATTATAAAGCAGTTTAATTTGAAGAAGCTTATTTAGGTATGTAAATTAAACCACCATTCAAAACAAGAACACATTTCAAAACAGAAAACAAAATATATATATATATATAACGCTTTTAGCCCAAAAGGGGCTATAGTCTCGAAATGTGATTTGCGTTCGTTGACCATGAACAGACAACCACCTTTTACATTGTTGCCATCAAATTTTATCGTCCTGTATTATTTTTACAGAAATTAAGTTATGAAAATCTTCACGTATGTACGTACACTGCGAAAAAGAAAAGACGGGCAGTTCTATATCTCCCGTTCTACTGTGCCGATTGACAAAATTCAAATTGCTTTTTTCATATCTCGAAAGCGCGACTTAGGATATATATTAGATTTATATATATCATTGGTTCTAAAACAGGTATTTTGACATAAAATCGGACTTTTTTTAAATAGCATACCAATTTTGTTTTCCATATATGTATTCTACGACTCAAATTATGTCTAGATATTAAATTTTTTAAAATTTGGGGCGAAATCTACGGAAAAATTCAAAAATTTATCTTTGCCCATTATTTTCAGTTTGTGCTAAGAATAATTCACTTGGCGCACTTCTTAATGTATGGCAACCAATTTTCCTTTGCCTTCTATTATGCCGAAGAGGAAAAAAAGGTACCTCATTCCTATCTTTTTACATTGTGCATGAGCGGAAAAAAAGTCACATTGTTCTTACTTTCAAATAATTTTATCAAAGTGTCATTTGATGTTTTATTATCCAATAAATAATGGATAATGATTATCCAATAAATAATGATATTTGATAATGATTATCCAATAAATAATGGACTTTCAACAAATATGCATAATTTCAAAGCGCACCTATATATAAATTCATGTATATCTTCGGGAATCTTGAATAAAACCGTCTACTTTAAGATGATGGTAAAAATGTTATAGATTATAATGCAAAATGTTTTTTCGAAAATTTATAAAAATTATTTTAAAATAAAATTTTTAAAATAAATCATAAAAAATGGGGAATTTTATTTGGAATGAACCTGAATTCTGAAATGTGAAAGGAAGAATCAAATAAGTTTAATACAAAAAGAGAGCTTAATAAATATATACCAAATTGCATTAACACTGAGGAGCTAAAATTTTGAGAGCTAATGTTTTAAGAACTACTCGTGCGACTTTTACAAAACTTGGTAGTTTGGCGTAATTTGAGTTGTAGAATTGAAATATGGAAAAAAATTGGTATTTTGTTTCAGAAAAGGTCCGATTTTGTGTCAAAATACCTATATTAGAACAATGATATATATAAGTATAATACATAGCCTAAATCGCACCTTCGGGACATGAAAAACGCAAGTTGAATTTTGTCAATCTGCCCAGTAGAACGGGAGTATAGAACTTCCTCTTCCCCCCCCCCCCCGCAGTATACGCTCTTTGCACGGTACAAAAGCGACAGTATTTAGAGCTATCAAGTTTAGAAAGGTTTCGAGTCCGAAAGGTTTCTAGTAAGTAAAAAGTCTATTAAAAAATCGCGATAAAATCCTTGCGTAAATTCGCTAACTAAATAATTAAATAATAAAATGTAAAGAGATCCCCCACATTCTGACACCAGTTCCCTTTTCATAATCAAAAGGCTATGGATCTGTGGTAATCTTTTTAATAACTGCGCCAGATGAACAGGCAGAAGCTAACATTTTACTGAAATGAACAAGACCTAATTCAGAAAAGTAAACAGTTATCAACAGCTGAAGGGAAAAGAAGAGATAAGAAAAATTTTCCTTAACTAGTGAGGAATACTGCATGATAATAAATTCATCCTGCAATGCAGTGGTCCCCGAGCAGGAGCACGAAGCATTCGCACAACTCCGAACTGAATAATTGAACTGACTGACACTCGGCATCAACGCAGCCAATATTTATAAGTTACGCAAGCACCACTTTGAGTAAAATTGCTCTTAGATCATTCTGGTAATTTCCAGTATGTCGCCGAATTGTCACCAAATTTTTCAAGTCCCGGTGATTAGGTTTATACTCATACCTGTGGTTCTACTAAAACTACCCTAAAATTCCAATGTCAATCAACTCAGAATTTGTTTTAAAACATAAAGTGTTTACAAACACAGTAATCGGTAAAGAATTCTGAAATTTATTGCTTATAAATTTCCATTCGAGGAAAGGTTTCTTTCAGTTTCATGTTTTTAGTGTAACATTTCAGCATTTTACAGCTTGCTGTTGTCTCTCCCTTTTAGGAAGCGCAGTATTGTCCACGTACAGAATTAAAATCGACTAAAGAAAGTGAGAAAAGGCAAATCCTTTGAAAAGAATCATATTTATAAAACGGACTCTACAAAAACGGATATATAAGTCCAGATGTTTCTGAGATATCTCCCTTTTAGGGATGCCAGAAAGAAACAAGAGATAAATCCTGTTAAAATATAGGAAAGCGCTCAACTTTTTCGGTCTATCAGTTCTTAAACGGACTTACTATAGATTTAGTTCTGCTTAAAATATTGTGTTGAGTATATCTTGAAAAGGAATGCGCTTTGAATACAATAGAAGAAAAAATAGCCTTTAGAAACCTGTAATGTCTAACTCAAATACCCTTCCTTTGAAATCAATGATTTATATTTACGAAAGTTTGGTTTCCTTTGATGTAAGATTCTTCCATTGTGTATTGCTTCGTAAAGTCCAGTGCAAGTTCTAAAACACTAATCTAAAACGAAAGAAGATAATCTCACGATCCCGTGTTTTAGTTTCCTGAAAATGGCGGATTACTGTTAAATCACATGTCAATGCCTCGAATGTGTAACTTAATAATAGAAATTATCATGTGTTCTTTTAAGTATAGAATACATTTATAAAAGAATTAAAAAATTTTCCTTTGTTATTAAAAAGAAAAGCATGGATATATGTTATTATATTATCCAATAAATAATGGACTTTTCTAAAATTTTTCTCTGAAATATTATCTCCGAAATTTAAGTATTAGACCAGAATTTCCGAACTTTTCTTGTTACTTGTATCAACAACTTTTATTAGAATGATTTTCTTCGTTGACCTCCTTGTGTTTTTCTCTACTATACACAGAATATAACATAATCATAATACAAATAATTGCATATAAATAACTTTAGTCTAAAAATATGAACAAGAGTTTCGAGAAAATGTTTTTTATTAAATATATATTTTATTATTATTGTTTTGTATTATTATTATTATTATATGAATTTTACAAATATAAACAAGATTTCGGAAGCAAAACTGAAGATTTTAATTGGTTCATTCTAACTGGTTTATTGGTTGATGGATCTAATTTAGGTTCATTTTTAGTTAATGTGACGGGTTCTCTTGATGTATTGATACATTTCTTTAATATCTGACATGAAATTCCCGACTTTAATTCATCTGGTTCAAAAATATTTAAAGTGTTTCTTGTTTCCCGTAGTAAACTATTGCCTTGACGAACTTCTGCTTATAGTAAGCAAGAAAATTCAACAACTTTGGCTTGATAGTAACTCTTAATTTGGGAATATTTCTTTCGAATGTTTTTTAGTTCGGAAACTTAGCGTAGCCATGTGTGCTTGAATACGATTATAAGTATTATTCAGTGCAATTAACTCATCTTGCAACATAATATCAAGATCAGATATATCGCAGTTTAGCGGTCGTTTTATAAGGCATTTCCCCGCCTTCTTAGCATGCCCTCGTAGTGTAGTAGTCAGCACGCTGGACGCGTATTCCAGAGGTCCGTGGTTCGATTCCCAGCGAGGGCGTTGCTCATTTTTCATCATTCCTGCTTAAAAAAATAACCTAATATCTCTACATTTTGAGCAGTGCGGGCACATTCAATTCTATCTTAGAAGTAAGCATTAAAATTTTCTTCTAAATTTTGCAGTTCGCTTACATATA